AGCTGGGCAAGGTATTGATAAGCCATCAAATCCAAAGTGCCATTTCATGAAAACTGTATGGTAAAAGCTGAACAAATTTGTCTGGAAATAGATTGGGACCTGGATTTTCAAAAGGTATAGGACTTGATAATACATTATGGGGAAATTCTGAGAAATGGCGAATCAAATTTGGCTCATAACACAAAATAACATGGATTTCAAAGTGCTGTTTTTGGAAAATGTTACAGAAAAACTTGACCAAATTTTGACTGGAAATAGCCTTGGACCTTGCCTTTCAAATGCTCAATGACACGTTGATATATTATGGTAAAATTCTGAGATATGGACTCTCAGACTTAGCTTAAAAACATATATGCATTTCAAAGTACATATGCTTAATAATGTACTATTTTCGTAAAAGTTGCCCAGATTTTTTCTGGAAATAGCCTAACACCTTGCCTAACAAAAGGTATAACACATGTTTATACCTTAAGGGAAAATTCAGAGAAATGGCCTGCCATACTTGACACAACCTAAAATAACACGGATTTATGCCCTGTAAAGGAAAGTTTTTAATGAAAATTTATCATGGGGAAAAAAACGCCATATTTTTCATTTTATGAGAATATACCTGTAAAATACAGTACATCTCGATATTTAAATTTATGTTTTGTAAAATTAGGATTGGAATGTGTAATTTTTCATTATAAGAATCTACTGTTTTTTTACATGGCTGTGCTGCTTTTAAATGATCTTGAATGTAAAATTATTATACATTGCTGTTAAAAATACAACACAGTATAGCCTTTTCCAACTACATGCATATGCCTATAAAAATAGAGAATTGTATGGTATTAGGAACATGCATTTGCTGTATATCCAAAGTAACTATCACATAATAAAATCTAACAAAATTAGTTTGAAGCAGAAATGTCCAATAAAATTACATTCACTGCAGTGTAATAAGATACAGATTAAATGTTCACTTAGAGTTATTACGTACCTTTTCTTCACAGAAAAAAACTGGTAACAAAAACACTAAAGCACTGACTTGCTTAAGTTATAATATTTTATATCTCTACCAGAACTAAAAAAAGAATATTTTGATTAAAATTTTGCCAAAAGTGTAACATGACTACTTGACCAGTGGATTTAATTTCACTTTCTTATTAAATAACTACACAAATTACATGACACTAATTAACATTATAAAATGTTATATATATTTGAACATTTGTGAACAAAAAAAAAACGTGTCAACATAATAATGATATCTAAGAACAATTAACCAGTCTCCTTTTCCCGGGAATCTACGCTTATTTTTAGGAGGGGGGCAGCAAACAAGGGACATCCAGAGGACGTCCTCAGGTCGTTCCGCAACACGTCCCTTTTTTGGGGACGTCCTAAGGTTGCTATGAACAATAAAGAAATCCTTCAAAAGCACGTTGTTGTGACAGCTTCCAGGAAGAGCATTTTAAATAAATAATTTTATCCAAAGTACTTCTTTTTATTAATGTTCCATCAGGATGTCAAGAAGTCGTCCTTTGAGGACGTCCTAAGGAACTCCGTGTTACTATAAAAACTATAGTAACAAAAAGAGTTTGCATGGTTTTATGTAATGGTTTATTAACTTGATTGATTCTTGGTTTGTGGTCTAGCTCTCTAACAATTATAGAACTAGGAGTGAAGCCCGTTCCTCTGTGCCACTTGGAAAAATAAAGAAATCTGAGAAGGGGTTACAGCACAAAGTGTACTGTACTGTTACGTTTTCCATGACAGTGTCACGCACGTACAGGTCACGGGACAGCGCAGAACTGTGCTGTTACGTCTGGCATGCACGTATTGGCAGTGTCTCGTAGTGCAGTCTGACTTGGCGGATTATCCCGTTGCAGCACGTTGAGTGCCACTGAAGATATAAACAAACCAATATTCAATCATTAGCAATTTAAGTGTCAGTGGGAGTTCTCTTAATCATCACTTTGTCGTATTTATTAGGCTATATTAATGGAAACATAATACGTGGGAAGATGTGAACGTGATTCCTACTGTTACTTAATGACAAAACAAAGAAGTTATGGCAATAAAATGCTATTGTTTTTCATCCAAAGACGCTACCCCTAGTGGTACATGTCAGTTACTTCAGATTGTCATGTTGTTTTAAGAAATGGGTCGCCCAGTTGGCAAATATAATGCAGTATAACATAAACAATATGGCAATATGCATATGAATTTCAATTCAATTTTATATGGCGTCTTTCACAACAGTCGTCACAAGGCGCTTGACATGGATGTGTTGTAA